GGGTTAGCCACAGCTTCTCTGGGCAACCTCTTCCCTGTGTTGAGAACCAGACACGTGTGTAACAGAACAGCTCCGCTGCTTCTTCCCGGCAGCATTTCCATGTCCCTGCCCCGGGAACAATGAGGGGGGGGATGGCTGCTGGCCCTGTCCCACGTCCCTTCCTCCCCCAGAAGGGAGTAGCCAGGGCAGGATGTGACAGGCCGGGTTGGGAAGGGTGAATGACATCCCTTGTTTAAACCTGCCTGTGCCCTGGTCCCGGGGGTCTCACCGCGGCAGCAGCGGTGTCCCCAGCCCCTCTGTGAGGCACCAGTGCCATCTGCTGGGTCCCTGTGACAAGACCTCTATTCCCCTCCCCCCCGCCTTTCCCCCCTGGCTGGGTACCCCCGTCCCCTGTCATGGCCATGGAGCATCCCCGTCCCCTGCCATGGGACCCACCACAAACCCACCGCAGGTCTCGGGAAGGGCTGGGACCGGGACAAGGGATAAAGGCAAACAGCCCCTGTGTGACCTTCCCAAAAGCATCCTCTGTTTCATGCTCGCTTCATGCTTGGCTCAGAGCACAAAAGTCCCCCCCAGGCCACGATGCCAATTGGAGATGGGCATCTGGGATAGACAGGCCCTGTCCCAATAGGAACAAGGGTCTCACTAGATAATATCTGATCCCATCCTTCCAGACGTAGTTAGAAGCTGCTGATCCCACCCAGGCAGCCACCCTGCACCCTGCTTTTAGACTCCTAATCCATCCGGAGTTATCCATCCGGAGCCTCTGCCCCGGTCCTTTTGGGGGAGCCCAGCTCTGCTGCCTCAGGGCTGATGAGTATTGGACCTGTCCTTGTTGTTGTGCAGGGTGGTGGAGCAGCTCTGGGCAAAGAGAGGGGTCTGGTGGGTACAAGAGGACATGACTGCCCCCCTGCACCACTCAGGGAGGTGTATGAGGGCTTTGGAAGGTCTCCCCTGCTCTGCAGAAGGTCACTGCCAAGAACAAAGCAAGACAGAGCTTGTTCAGGGGAATCCTTCACCCCTGGATGATGGATGGGAAGCGCCCAGCACCCTGTGTACTGCTGATCCTGGGCGCTCCACATGGCTGGCACCTTGCAGAGTCCCAGGAACAGGGTGCAGAGGGAGGGGAGTCCCTGTAAATCACAGGGTGGAACAATGTGGCCCTTCCTGGATGACAGGGAGGCTCCCGCAACCCCAGCTGGCCAGGAACGAGCTCCGAGGGTCCATTAATCACTCACGGAGCCTGAACAGGAGCGACAGGACAGCCCGGGGCAGCTGGCTGCAGGGGGAAGGGAGAGCAGAGGGAGCCTGCACCCACCAGTGACCCTCAAGCCCTGTGGATCACAAGGACCCAAATTGGGCCACAGCTCCTATACCCCCATGGTTACACCTCAGGGCCACTCT